TAACTACTTACATACAAGTACATCACAACAGAAGAAATTCAGAGTCAGGAATTCCAATTAGACACCCAATTAGAGAAACGGCGATATCTCATAATACTCGTAATTTAATTATGCATTCACTGATACCGCTGGAGGATGAGAAGGAAATGCATCCAATGAAACTAATATCGATGTTGTTGAATCTAGGAAACATCCTCCGCAGTCGTTTTCACGGTTTATGCACTTTGCATCTTCACTCTTCGGGATACTAGCTGGAGCTAGACTAACATATGAGCACACAGTTTGAACATACGCTTGTATGTACTTATACTTACTTACATTGTGGCTGGACTCACGTGTGGTTCTTCATTCCTTCTTCACTGCCTGTGCTGGTGCGTTGTGCGTACGTTCGTTAAGCAGCGTTTAACTAATAAGAATGTGGCTTGCCGAAGGTGGCTCCGGCACGATGGTAATTTCAGGAATGCGCGTAGATAAATTTCAATCTTTTTTTCTTCAATCGGCCGCCATCTTTGCATTGCAGCGCAGCGAGCAATTAACCAGCGAAGAGAATCGAATAAGGAAATATTTCGAGTCATAACTCAATTCTCCCAAGTCTCATAGCACAAGCAAACATTAACAATCATTGATTAACTTCTGATAACATAGGTGACATTGATGAGTATCATGTTATTGTCATATTTAACGTCCGGGTGTGTGAATGAAAATGTCCTCTGTGCGGGAGTACATTATCTGCTTTTAATTGTGTGTCGCCCGCCGAAGAGCGCGCTCGAAGCGAAGACAATTGCTTCGTACATCATCCGAACACGTTTCGCAATACGCCTACGGCGGTTGCGGAGGCGCCACGGAATTTCTTATTGTTTAATTTCGCTTGTATATACTCCTAAGTTATTAAGTTATTTGCAGTCTTTTTACAACACTGCGTTTGTGTAGTCAGACTTGTTTTACGAGGCATTTCGCACGTTTTATATATTTTCAGGACTCGATTAAAAACACTTCCTGCATTATTAACGAAAAAACAAACAAAAATTCTTTGTTATTTTAATAATGTTGTTGTGTAATGATAAGAACACATTAGATTAGTGTGTGTTGTATACACAGCAGTTGCATTAACATACTAGTTTGTAATTAACTAATTAATACGCGTTCAACAAGCGGTGTAATTTCTGCAGCTTGCTAATAACATTATTAAGTAGTGCAGAATGAAGTTGAAGCAGAAGATGCGTAAACGTCGATGGCGGAGTGCTTCAATTACATGTAAATTATGCGTGTAGTATAGCAAATACAAATTACAGAGTAGTAAATATTTACAATTGGAATATTTATTAATTTTAAATGAATAAATTCATGTTTCATGTAATTTAAGAAAAATAATAGTTAGGCAACCAAATGTGCACGACTAAGAAACACATTCAAAGTTTAAGCGTACAGCAATCGCAAATTTACTAAACGTGCTGCTAAGCGCGCTAATTAACACATGTAATACGCTGTAAGATGTTTAGAAAGATACGCAAGTGTCGGGAAGATGTATCAATTGAAAAGTGGAAAGAAGTACCCATATTACATGCACTACAATACAAGTTAAAGCCCAGCAGCAAGATTTTGCAATTTTACAGCTTAAAAATAAAAGCGTAGGTGGTTTAACAGAGTAGATGAATAAAATTAGCATTAAAAACCAGCTTTTAATGTTTTACATTTAAAAATTTTAAATGTTGATGCTCCGTGAGCACTGAGATTTAAAATAAGTGATTGAATGCATACGAATGACCAATTAGCGCAATTCAATCGAACGATAAACCGTCTGCCAAGTTTTTCACGTCTTCCCCTCTGATTGTCAATTAGAATTAAGCCGAGTGTACAATCATAAACGATGGAAAGTGCACGAATTTATAAATAAAAATCAATGCCGACTTGCCGATGTTGTTGACGTTGTTAACCGGCGCGCGTTTTATATTTTAACATAATACGATATTATATCGAAGAATGCCTCCAACCTGCAAGGGCTGCGAGGCATCGCAAAGCGAAAAAAGTGGCCTGATCGCCGATCGTTACTCATAATGATTTCGTATTTATGTTGTGCCCTCGACGAAAAAAAAGCGCTCCGAAACAGCACTCAACAACGCAGCAGCACTCGTCGAAAACGAAAAAAGTGTTGAAGTCGTTGTTCCCACCTTCGTACAATCTTATAGTCTCTCCACCGAGCACACACGGCCACATACCCCCTGCTACTTTAACCCATTTCAATACAAATGAGTTTGGTGAAATATTTATTAGTATTAAATTAAGTGTCGGGATATATGCGAGGTGCGTGCTTGGTGCGCGTTTTTTCTGAAAACCGACGCTGGCGTTTTGTTACTCGTTGCTTGTTGGGCGCGCGCGTGTATGCGTGTGGATGAGTGTGTGTTGTTCATGTTTAAATAATAAACGGCGAACAATTAAAACGAAACGCACCACGTGGCGTGCGTACGGTGTGCGAGATGGACTTGCCGCTGTTGCCGGCGCGACGTGAAGCACACAAAAGCACACACAACGGCAGAGGCACGCTAATGAAGAACAAATAAACGCTGTTCGGCGAGGTGGAAGTTGCGTCCAAAATGAATACATCATTATCGGGAGTTGAGGAGGATAGTGGATAATAATCGACTAAGTAGGGAGTCCTGGTGACGCTAACAAGAGCTTACAAATGTAAAACATTTGTTTGTTACACTTTCAACTTACGGTTGAATGTTTGAAACATGACTTAAGTACACTACGTCTTATTTTAATGAGCATTTTAACTAGTGTAGTCGATAATGCAATATTTGTAAATTTTTACTTTTAAAAATTATATTTTATGGTCATGAAATCTTAGATTTTGACGGAATTTTTTAGAAATGTTGTTATTCAACGGCGCCGTGGCTTAGTTGGTTAAAGCGCCTGTCTAGTAAACAGGAGATCGGGAGTTCGAATCTCCCCGGGGCCTATCGTCCTATAGAGGGCGTTTCTTTTAAAATAACTCAGTGTTTTATTGATATTTTCTAGATCTAAGTAAAATTCTAGGAAAATTTCATAAAAATACTTTAAAATATTAGGCTGGCGTCAAAATAAGCAAATGTTTATTTCTTTGAAGGAAAATTAAATTTTTAAACATTTTTTCAGCTAATATAATTAAGGATATTGGCGCCGTGGCTTAGTTGGTTAAAGCGCCTGTCTAGTAAACAGGAGATCGGGAGTTCGAATCTCCCCGGGGCCTAGGCGGTGTAAAACTTGCCAAAAACGAAATTTTTCGAACAGTTTGGTGTGTTTTGCGTAATATTCTCTACTTTAGATGTTATATTCTCCATACACCTAAATATTTACTAAGCAAATTACCTAAGTAATCAAATTGCATTCTATTTGACTTAAATTAAGTCAAAGAAACCAGATTTAAGTGAAATTCTAGGCGTAATTAAATACTTAAGTTAGATGAACCCTTCACAAGTTGCGTGCAAGTTGTACACTCACTTCAACTAAATTTTCTGTTGTTTTCTGAGCAAATTCTTTGCTCTTTCCTCATTCGCGGCAGTTACAGCATCACTTACTCCAACGAAATGGAGTAAAAACATTTAATTGTTGGCATTTCGGGCGAGAACTTCTAGCATTCCAATTCGATTGGTAAGTAATTCTATAATTACACATCGTATCGACTTCGAACGTCTTGGGATCGCGTTGGATTTAAACATTGGCGTGTTTTGGAGCTTTTGGCCGATGCGCGTCTAGTTATTTAACAAATAATTGGATAAACCGGTAGAATCGCCATTTGATCGTGTAATGGAATCGCTCGAATTTCACTCGTGTTTGTACTCCTAACGCAGAATTCCGATTCTAATCGAAAACGCATGGATTCTTTTGTGTACGCACTCACCTACACATTACTATTCATCAAACATGCTCATAACCCACAAACTAAAGCATGGGAATAATAGTTTGTGCATAAAAAAGACTCAAAACAATATTATTAATTTTAAAACAAAAAATGAATCAGTAAAAAATAGTTGTTTGCATTTTTTTGTTAAAAATCACAATTTACAAGCAAATTTCATCGATTTTGAAGTTTGTAAACATAAAGTTCATGCATTTTCACCTCCAACTTCACTTCTTGCCTTCCCTGGTCATTAGCCCTTAGTGTTTTGCTTATTTCTGAGAATCGAACGTCACTCCAATTTCAAATGCGTACTTTTATTGCATTATTAAGTGCCGTCCAGCAATAATTCCGATAAACTCGAGAATTGTAAGCATAAAACAGAAATTTCATCCGCACGGCAAATAATAACGTAATACCAGGGCAAGTAACAAATTGTTGTTTTCGATTTACGAGAATATCGCTGACCGTTTGAGGAGCCAACAAAAAAAACACGCCGCGAAGAAGCAAATAACCAGTAAGTAACAAAGTAACATTCTTACTAGTTGCTTGTAATTATAGACTCCGCATCGGTCAGTTCGAGACGTAACTGTAGCGTGGCGAACAATTTCTCTTTCTCGCAAATTAATTGTTATTAATTCGTGAAATTAAATTCACGAACTAATTGATTTTCAAATCGGGCGAATGTACGCATTGTCAAAACCGCAACATTGCGAGTTAATTATCGAGGAGTTTTTACATTAATTACTAATCTAACAGTATTTAATCGTTAAAAAAAATCACGATTTTTTAATTTCACAAAATTAAATTGATAAATAAAGATAAAAATGTTTTCTATTGAATTTTTATTAAAAATAATTTTTGACCGGACGTAAGAATTCAGCAAATTCAGAATTTTAGTTTAGCAACCACCAAACAACCAGACAGCCTCGCAACTTCTTCAGTTCTCTCTCTTCGTACGTAAGTACAACTCGCGTTCCACGATTTCCCCCATCACGGCCATCACCATCCATCGCCGAGCTGGCGTTCTCTCTTGCACTCACAATTCTTTCCCAGTGTCTCTCACGCCGGTCGTCCCCCAACCGCGACCGCGACTGTGCACCAGCTTCAGTATCTGCTGAGCCGTTGCATCGTGCATGCAGAGTTCGTGCGCGTTCGGTCCGTTTACGCGTACGTTCGCAGCGCACACGCATATCACAATCACGTCTCCTTCAGCATACTCTCTAAACGTATCGCAGTGTCTTCCTATCAGTGGTAACACACCATCGAAAATTCAACACGCAGCCAACGAAAACATTAAAACACAATGTGCGTTACTTAAAACTCAATTCATTATTAACATTATTGGTGATTTTGTACTTGTGGACTTGTCTCGAAAATATCAGTGGAATGTTACTGCTACATCGTGCGAATTTTGTGTGAACTTGTTTCGGTTTTTTGTTTATTATCTGCCGGTGTGTGTGCGAGTGAGTGTGGTGTGTTGTTTTGTTGATAACGCAGGCACGCACAGGACGCAGAGGACGATGATGCAGCGTCGCATTGCAACGTCGTCGCGGCCGTCGCTGTTTTAGTCGCTCTTTCGAGGAGGTTTGGTGATTCGAACGCGGCTCGCGGTTGTTGTTGTTCGCGGTGAAGATGTGCAGTGTCGTGTGGCGACTTTTGTGTAGGAGCATGTCACATGGATATTTATTACACTTTTTCCTTCTGTTGCTCAACTTATTACAGGTAAAAATTTTGCGTAATAATTGTTTCTTAGAAATAGATTTTTTAACCGAAAAGGGTTTAAACACTACTACTATGTAAGCGGTCGCAGTTTAAAATTGCGAATGAAACGATAATTTCATGCCGACACGAAAAGCCTAATTACATCTTTGGAGCTGACTGGCGCTTAGGCCACTTTGGGTATATCTAGAGCACGATATTAAAACGTCAGCGGGGCAGCAGCAGAAACGAGAAATTAAACGAAAAACGCTTAAGAATTGTTTACGGTTGCGTCCGCTATTAATCTTCTCCTGAAACATTTAAAATGTCGAAAATTTTGCGGTCTATCACGCCGTTATTAAGATAAGATTGGAAGCAAAACAGAAGTGCATATTAGAATTTATTTTTAAAAACAGATTTCCGTGTCTTTCAACACAATACTGTTTATGTGTTGTTAAAATGTTTGCATTTTGTAACTTATGCAATGGAAAGATAATTAAAGTATTTTCGTATGCAAATTTGTTTCTTGAGGCAAAGCAGCGTGTTTTGAGACCGCATGCGGTGCGAGTTTCCGAAACTTGTTTCGTTCCGCGTTCCGTATCTTCAGCGTTCAAGCAGATTAACTTTTCGGATGCACTTGCGCGTCGATGATAAGGGGAATAAAAGAAATTTAAACAAACCGGAAAACGATTACCTCCAATTTTCGGTTGTTGTGGTTAGCATTCGTAGCTATAAATTACATGCAAACACTTTAGCGTCGTTTCGAGTGTTTTAAGTGAATTGGGAGGAAATTTACATTCTCCACATGTCATGCGCTTGTGAAACGCCAGTTGGGCCGGACATTGTTTCGACTCAAATTAATTTAATTAAATTAAGACGCTTCGTGGCTCGCTTACAAAACAAATACTTTACGCTTAATAGCGTCCCGTATAAATTAATTGATGCGTGTGAATTTTCGCACATTTAAACGTCCCTAAACGAATTAGATTAACGGCAATTAAGATAAAAAATATTGTGTTCATGTATGTTTATAACGTTTACATTGTGAAGTAGTCTCCGTCGGCTTCCGATTATGATTTCTTTTCAACTTTTGTGGTTGCTTGGTGTTGTAGGAACCTAAGTACGTAATGAATTATGAATTGTAAAAATTGAACCTAATTGACTAACAATGCGGAATGTTTTACACTGCAGGACTTGTTAAATATTCAGATTGATCATGTGTGGGAATATTAAAAACTACACGCAGTCAGCGGAACTATATGTTACTTATCAATATATTCGCACTTGGCAATAAAGGTTATCAAATATTTAATTTACTCTACAAATTCCCACGGGTGATATCAATGAGTAAGTTTTTGATATAAAATGAAAACTGGAACTTGCTTAAATATCAATTACCTACTCTGTTTAATTCTAAGAATTTAAGTCCAAAAATTTGTATTTATTGCAGTTTTACTTAAAAAAATATTCAAAAAATTTCTAAAAGTTTATTTGAAATGCTTTTTACCAATGCATTAAGCAATATTTACACAAGTAATGAAAAAAATGCAAAATTTTTATAGCTAAACTTAACGAGTAATTAATTGATTAGTAAAACAATGAATTGCTATTGTTATTGCCATATTAAAACGCCCAACATTCTATAAAACAGTTCTTGTTGTTATAATTATTAATTATTTATTGATAACATGCTCACGATTTAATTTTTACGATTCAAAAACAATCCTGTTTTTTAACTTGTGTTATTTGTGTTAGAATTGTGATTTACACGTGTAATATACGTGTACATAGAGTTTCTAGTGCACTTATATCGCTTTATTAACCGGAAAACCGCACGGATATTTCCTGCCTTTGAAATGAATCCCTTCTGCGTCGTTGCGCCGCACAATAAAAGCGCTTTTATGCCGATGCGCGGTAAAGTAGCACCTCTCTTCGAATTTCGAATGGTGTACCTACCTGACGCTCTATGCACTTCGCAGATATCGTGCAATAATAGGTATTCTTTTCACATAGCGCGCATTGAACACCTGAACGGATTTGTTTACATTCCCCAGTCGTCTTTATCTCGTTTCTGCACGCTGCGCATTTGGTTGACATATAATTCCGTAGTTGTTTATATAATACAGAGTGTTTTAATATTTTAATTATTGTTTTATTGATGTTATTTTATGCGTAGAAATTAAATACTCTGGAAATTGTTTGATAAAATTCCAGAGCTTTTAATTTAATGCCGCTTCGTAGAAAAACTAAACTTTATACACGGCAGTTTAATTTTAATTCAGCCATTTGGACTCGTTTAGCAATTTAAACCGCATCGTGATTAACATTTTCTTGGCTCGTTTTCTCGACTTCGATTCGCGGAAAGTTTAATTGAATCCTTTATTAAATACGCGACCGACCGAATCATCATCGCGTTTCTTGTAATCCGTGCGCTGGATTATTGCGTTTTTATTTCATTTCTCATTTAAGTCACGTTAAACTTAATTGAAAGACAATTTGCTTTGAGAATTTCCATGACTACACAGAGGAAGTTTGTCATAAATCCTATTAGAACCTCTATTTACTTAGGACTTAACTTAAGTTTAAAGAAAACCTTAATCAAATAAAGTTGTTTTTATGCGTTGATATTTTTTGGTAATGAATGTGTTTGTTGAATCTGTTTCAGTGCGCGCATGGCTCCGGTTTCTTTGAACTGCAGGTGCTGGAGATGGTCAACCCGCTTGGGGAGCTGACGAACCGGGAGTGTTGTGGAAATGCCGGCGGCGCTGGCGTCGGAAACGGCATCGGCATCATGCAGCGTGCCTCGCTGGCATCGCGCTGTACGACGCCGTGCAATACTTTCTTCCGGCTTTGTCTCAAAGAGTATCAGAGCAATGTGACCAGCACCGGGTCGTGTTCCTTCGGGAACACATCCAGTCCGGTGTTAGGTCGTGATACCTTCACTCTTGCGGATCCTGAACGCGGAAAACTCGTCTTGCCATTCAGCTTTCGATGGACGGTGAGTAATTTTATTTATTTAAATAATTTCGGTTAATTTTTTTTAAATTTTGTGTATTGGTGTGATAATGCCGTGCGCGATTAGTTAGTATTTCGTGGTCTTTCATGGTTTTTCAACCCGTCTGCGGCGTGAATGTACGTAAACCTGTTTTTCGTAATAAGAGGGACTTATCACGTCATTATGCTGCGCGCACACAAGCGCCCAGCGTCTTTCTTCTCGGCGTACATGTGTTGCCGGTGTACTTTGCGTTAGTTACCAGCTTACCACCGCTGACTCTTGCGCGCCCCATCTTTGCGCTTCTTCGCGCATAGACCGCCCGTCGGTCGGGGCCCGTCCGAAGCGCGCATCGCTCGCCGCCGATCGCAAACGGGCACGAAATGAGCGTTTTTAACGAAACTGGTTAACGACCGATAGTCGCCGACGAAGATTCTCGCGAGAAAATGAACGCTTTGCGTCTCACCACAAAACAACGACCAAAAAAGAAAACGGAATATGAATAGAACGTAATGAAATCTTTGATTCACTCGCTGAAGAGACGTGAAATATTCAAAATTTTCTGTGATGTGTGTGTGTGTGGGGAGCAGCACGCAGCGATAAGTTGGAATGCGGTCTTCATGGGACGAGAACAATGGTTAATTAAGCTTAATTAGCGAAAATTGATGCAAACATCGGAACGTCGCGACTGCCTGACTCATTTAGTTCATTGTTGCGGAAACATTAAAATTGTTACTGCTTTCAATTAGTAATAACCTCATCGTCAGCGTGGCATTAATGCGTTTAATATGCGTACATGACTTAAGTCATTTATTCGGATGACTTAAGTGACATTAGGTGAAGTAGCTTTACTTATTTCAGTCAAAAATAACGCAAACTTTAATTTTGACTTCTTAAAAGCAGTAATAAATCAGAATAGTTAATAATTCTTCGAAAAGCATCGATTAGACTCTTGACACATTAGTTGTAAGCGCATTGGCGAGTCATGCGAAATACGTGCAGACGAGACACGCAAGCCCGGCGACAGGAAGGAATAGTAATGAGGCGATTACATTTTCACACGTTCGATTATGTCAACGACGATAAATTACGAACTTTTTATTGCCTTCCTACTTATAATATCAACTATACTTATCGACACTGGTATCTTTCGGCGTGCGAGCATTGCACAAATAATAAATGCCCGCATCGCTTGCTTAATTGTCTTGCGTCTTAAGTCTGAAACTCGAAAACTTAAGCCGAAAATATTAACCAATAGTTATTGTGAAATAATAACATAAAACACGAATTAAAAACGTGAAATATATAGATTAACCGTTTTTTTCGTCGATATTAATTAGCTCCTATGCTAATGAACTTGGAGCGCGCTCGGTTAAACAAAGTTTCTGTCCGAGTGTGTGTGTGTTTAATGTTCAAATGCCCTGGATAAAATATTTTAATGATTGCCGTGATTAAAACGGCTTTAATTAATAAAAATACAAGTTTTACAACGCGCTAGGCCCAAAGGACATAGTCCACAACGCAAGGATGCGGTCGACGAACGTTCGTTATTAGTCTGCGCCGCGAAACCTAATTCAGTATATGCCTAATTGTCTCGTTTGCATACTAATTGTCATCGTAACGAAGCTATCGGATTATGACGGTGGAATGTCGCCAATCGACTCAATATTTTTTCAAAATAAATAAATAACTAAATTCAGTGGTGAATTATTTTACGAATTTCTACTTAGATTTAGCTTAGACATGCTCGGCATGTTGTTAGTTAAGCACGGGGCGAATGCGCGCAATCGAAATAAATTTCGCCGCTTCCTCGTCTCTTCTTCGTTTCGCGTTCCGCAAGTAGTCTTAAGTGCGTGTACGTTTCAGATCGATTTAATGCCGTCGTTACGATCCGCTTTTCTCTTCTCTAAAACCTATGTAAGCACCGACGATCTAAATCTAAATCTATCCCAGGGCCTACAACCGGAGCAAACGATTAACCCAGCTTTATACACTCGCGACTAAATTTAATTCAATAAACTTAACGTAACGGAAAAACCACTAACTGCAAACACAAAGTCAGCACATTAAAATAAATACAGAAAAACTTGCATTTCAAGTGTCAAAGTTAACGCGCTGTACCTACTCGTAATAAAATGTGTGTGAACAATAGACATTTTGTTTTTATGCATACAGAAACAAAAAAAAAAACAGTGTGCTTTTCAATTAATCGTCATGTCTTTAAACTTCAGTAGTACCTTGGTGAATAAAAAAGGCCTTCGAGTCGTTCATCTCGTTTAGTTTTTCTTCATTCTTCAATCCCGCTGGCTTGCGCATTATTTTTTGTCGTCGTGCTTTAAGTCAAGTGTCTCGTGTGTTCATGTTTGTAGATGATGGCGATAATAATCGTAACAAAAAGGCCCTCGAAGGCATCTTCTTCCTCTATCTAATTTCTTTGAGTAGTCGTTTAGTCTATTAGGACGTTGGCTGCGGGCGCAGCGGCGAAGAATGGCCACAAATGAAGAAAATAAAAACGTCAAATAAATACATCGTCGGTGGAAGTAGTAGTTACATTTTTGTGCTGGTCGAAGAAAACACGAAAACGCATGGTAAACGTATAATAATAGCACTTTGGGCACAGCACGTTGGAAAAGGACTTAATGACAGATTGTTTTCAATTGTGTGTTGGCGTGTGGGTCTTGACGACGCGTTCTACTTTTTTTTCGGTAGCTATGTGATATTATTATTGGATTATAAGAAAATCATTTAATTTTGCAGAAATTTATTTTTTTAAATTTAAATTTTAAAAATCAACATTTTAAGTATTTGAACTTTAAAATCTTGTTACTTAGCGATACCTACATTTGACAAGCATGAACTCTCTTACCAATTAGTTCTAATTAATGATCGCTCCTTAAAGCGACCTCGGCGTCTTCGTTTTTGTAGTGTTTAGCGCTTTAAACATCAAATGTGTCGTCGCGTCGTGCAAAGAGTGTTTGTATATGAAGCGTGCGACATTTTACAGAACGCGCTGCCAGTTTACGCCCGTTTTTATGCGGCGTCTGACTATGCACATCCAAGACTTGTTTCTTTGGGACATTATCCTCGAGTAGACCGGGTCGGAGTGCAATGCTTAATTAAAATCGTTTTAATCCGATGTACTCAAGCCACAAAGTACCAATTTACAGGTTCATGGTAAATGTAACTCTACAAAATGGAAATTTATTACATTTTTTAACCTGTAGAGTATCATCTATTAAATATTAGCTTATGATTTTAATAAAATTTAATACATGCTTACAGATTATGTTTTAAACTAGTGCTTAACTTGTAAGTTTGTTAATCTTCTCTTGTCTGTCCGTATCTGTCCGGAATTCTTGTATAATGCGTCGCATCTATTTGCCTACGGTTTGCATTTCGCAGTCGAGTCGATTACGTTGATTATTGCCGCGTTGCGAAGCGACAAAACGGCCCGAAGTCGAACGGCAGTTGTTAGCGGGACGAGTTATCGACTAATTGAGTCGAAAAGTGCGCATCGTCTCGTACGGCCCCATTGTCGACGTCGAGCGTATTTACTTCAGCTATTAAACGCGTGTTATTAGCGTTTGCCGGACGGAGAGTACGTCGGCTTAATCAATTGTGAATAACGACGCTCTTTGCCGTGATCTTCATGATGATCATGATCAAGAACATGATCTTCACATTTACGAATATCTATCTATTTTCATAGACACAGAAAAAATACAAAAAGGTTTTTTTAATTTTAATTTTTTGAGTAAAACTTTGACCTCCAATACAAATTTATTCTTTTATTTTATTATATTTTATAAATTTTGGTGAATGTTGAACATAATATTACTACCTATAACCATTGAGAACTTGTCGAAAAAAAAAACTAGTGCATATGTCAAGGTTTTGCCTAGTTTTTTTTGTTTTGTTATTTCGTGTGATTTTTTCATTGAAGTGTTAATACATTACATTATGCAAATTGAATGTCATTCACATGCAGTTCTCACTCGATTCGCGTTCGCGCGCTTAAATGTTTGCTGTGGCGGTTACTTAATTCGTTATTTATGACCCGAGTGGCGGCATTGTTGCATTGGGCGAAGTCTCAAGAAAAAATGGACTAAAACAAAACGTGTGAGATTTATTTATGACTAAACGGGCGGTGGCGTACGTTACCTTGAACTTTTTCACACACTCACATCACAGTTTTAAAAGTTTATAAAACGCAACAAATTTTTTTATCATAGTCATCGATTTAAATCGAAAGCAAACCAATTTTTTGTTGAATTAAAAATAGTCTGGTTAATCAAGCTCGTAAATTTAATATTTTTTTTTAAAGTATTTGATTTAATTGTTAAAATGCTTGACATCCGTAAAATTACATATTATTGGAAACGTGTTTCTTGACTTCTCGAATAATATTTATTAATTGACGTAGCGGAAACCTTGAAAAACGCCACACACGCGTACCACCTCGCCCAACGCATGTTACGTTTTGCGGCATGTTACGCTCGTTTCCTTTACATATTAATTAATCTTAATTCCATAGAGTTGCGCTTTTTATGCTCTTTAAAAACCTTCCATCGGTTAAGTGCGCATAAATTTAATGCGAGCGCTAATAGAATTTTCTTCATTCGATACCGAACGCAATCGGAATTGTAGAAAAATGTATAAATAAATAAAAATGAAGGTTAGAAATCATAGAAAATGAAATCAGCACAGTAGGCAATTTATTTTCTAGAGTGCAGTAATAAACTTGATTTATTGATCATTCATGCATCAATCAAAACATTATTTGCAAAATTGTATGAAAATTTTCCAATTTTTAAATTGTTTTCCGATAAAAAAATTTCATATTATTCACAAGACACCTAATTTTTATTGGCTTGTAAATAAATTATTAATAAAAATTATTTTTTTCTATTTATCCACATGGTAGATATTTATATATCTAGCACTTACCCACTTGCCGTGTCTGACATACTACTCATGTCAAGTCATTCGCAGCGTAATAATATTCC